CTTTTGCTTACGGTTTACTTCAACTTTTAGTGAACCCTTAAGCCATCGGGGCCTGCTGGTGATTTTCTTTTTCGACATAGGGCAGTATCTGGTGATAAGTTCATTCAGTATAGCCTTAAGTTCTAGCCAGTCCTTGAGGACACACCCCGTAAATGCTGCTTTCCAGTCTCTACGACGCATGTCGAGACGCATTTGGTTGAAGTCACCACGCCATATGTTGCGTCTAATCACGATGCTTTGATCGGGTACAGAGAAGAGAGAATACTCCCACTGTAGGACTACATGGTCGCTTTTTCCGAGAGGGGCTAGACAGTTTACAACATCACTCCAGTCTCCCTTGCCTTTGTCGGTAATGCTATAAAGCCTGTGGTTCATAAGTGATGTCAAATAGAACAAAAATGATTTAGACCGGCGGTACAAGACACAAGGACCATAATGCATCAAAGCGATCTTATGTATTTTTCCGCGTAATGAAAAAAATGCGCGGGTGAATTTCAAGGAGGAATGGGAAAATATATGCGTCATCTAAGTCAGTGTAGGGAGTGGGGGCGAAATAAAGATGTTGATTTCGGGACTTGACACCAGTTTGCGGATTGAGTTGAGGCCGGCTAAGCCCCAAGAGTCATAAAAGGGGCATCTGACCGAATGAGATTCCTATATAGGAATGAAGAAACCTCGTTTGGATGGGTTGCATGTGTTACGACCAAATCTTTTCAGTTTACCTCTTACATCGCCTGACTGCAGCTCAGAATTAACCACGCCCCTCAATCACTCTCGAAAGCAGGTCTTTAAATCCTTCATTTTCTCACGTTCGTCGGTTCCAGAATGTCTTAAAAGTTGCCTGAATGAAATCCCTATTCCTACTAGCACGACAGAGGGGTTCGCCGATCTGGTTAGACTACGACGGAAGCACATTTTGATTTGCCTTGTAGCCCCAGTCCAGAACATCCTGAACGATGATGAAGCAGGAATGCCAGCAAAGATGAGGGATACCGAAATGGTCATTTTCAGAACCATCGTCGGCCGCCTTCTTGCACCACTTGGGGTTGGAGTTGCACACAGACCGGAGGCAACCATCAGGCGTCAGTTACTGAAACCGAAAGACCCACTGCCACGGCAAGAAACGTCTGGGGTCGTCTATCGAATCTGGTGCAGTTGCGGACAAAGCAACTACGTCGGAGAATCTCGAAGACAGCTCCGAAAGCGAATGGCCTAACATGCTGCAGCGGTGCGGAGAAATGACGCCAGCTCTCAAGTTGCGGCTCATTCTACGAGATTCGACCAAACATTCAAATCCGATGAGGCCGAAATTATCGCTAGAGGTGAAAACCGCATGAACTGTGAGCTACTTGAATCATGGTTTACTGGTCCCCAGTCCACTAACAAGTGCAATGATCTTCCCCTTCCATAGTTGGTGCTGAGACTTCGCCTAGCCCAGGAAATTAGCCACGCGAAGAGCGCACAGGTGAACACTTTTCCCAACGCCAGGGTAGGTGGGTCAGATGTTCGGGCATTCATCACACCAACATCCAACGCACTTGATGAAATTGCAGCAAATGACGACACAAATGTCGGCCATCAAACAGTCAGCACATTAAATTCAACGATCCCTGATGAAAGGGTAGCCGTGAATGTGCATAGGTATGAGGCAGCATGACGACTGCGTCCTATAAATACTGCAGCCACGTATCTTCTGTTGTCTCTGATGATGGGTTCGAGCAGGAATCAGAAACGTCAGGCAAATAAAGCTTTTGTCCCATCGATCGTGACTCCTTCTTCAACATTTGCAGGACTTTTGGCCGTAGCCAGCCGGCCATACCCACAGCACAGGCTTGGATAATTAATGACTTGACCCCAGATGCCTTAGTTATTAAGGATTAACCAAACACTACCATTGATTCACACGTCGGCGCTGGCCACCCCAGTCAGCATCGCCTGTGTCGGCACGATCAAAGCGTTCGTCGTTGACCTTTTGACCCTGTTAGCTCTTGCAGATGCCGTTGCCAACGTAACATGGCTCATGAACTAGTAATATGATTGGTTTATGTCTTTGAGAACTTGAACTTGACCACTTTGATTGCTTACGGTTTCAAATTTCCGGATTTCTTCAGCGGGTACGTCGACTCAAAAACCTGTTTCGCATTCTTTTTAAAGTACAGCGACCACTGCAATTACCACTTATAGAAACTTTGTGATTAGTCTGTTCTGTGACATAAGGTTAAATCTACTTCTTTCGGACTGGTTGCACGGAATTTTCTTAACACCGCTGGTATCCCTATAGACGACAGTTCGGCTTGTCATTTCCACAGTACATGGAAATGGCAAATACGTTACTAACAAATGGCTTCATGATGCGACCTAGAATGGGCCATATTTCAGCCCTCGTCTTGCGGTAAAGAGGCAGACCATCTATAGCTAGATTCACAACTATATCTCCATGGTCTGCGACTACGAATTCACTATCAGCTAACCTGCGTAGTTGCTCCTGCAGCCCAGCATGAACGTATACGTCCCCACAACCCATGGGGGACGACTTGCAAGTTATACGATGCCCCCAAAAGTGTACGAGAGTCTTCGGGCAATTGCGGGACTGCCATCCGCACTATGTCTAACAGACTTCGTAAATGACAGTGCGGAATATGGCACTGCAAAGCCCAATCACGCAATCTTGTCCTTATGCGTTCACTTATTGACACGTCATCATTATGGATGGCAGTGTCCGCCCAAGTAATACCGTCTGCAGATGCTAAATCACCTAACAATGACGTTGGCGGGCTAAGGCTCCCATTTCCAACATCCACTGAGTTACCAGCGGACGACTCCCGGTCTGAACAGTTCACTCGATAACGTTTGCTACCACCAAAGAGCAGATCCACCTCTGCATCTACTTCTCTTGACATTTCCTCGATCTTCTTCTTCTTAACATGCCGTCTAATAGTGCGTTTACATTCGTACCTAAACATTTCAAACATAAAAACAGATGGGTTAATGAATCAAATAAGGGTATACCAGAGAGAAGAAGAGAGCACGCCGCACGCGATACGAACGCAATGATGGCGACGAGCATACGGCGTGGGATCATTGATAACTCAAGCGCGCCAGCCAATGATTGTGGGAAATCGATAAACTCGCCGTCCAATCGGGTGACGAGATAGCCCAATCGCGAGATTTCCGCGATAAGTGTGCATCCGGTAGCTATTCAATGCTACTAGGGCTTAACACCCTGGTAGCCCTAGAGACGACAGTTCGGCCGTCGTGACCGACGATGTTCACTGTGTGCTCCACAGCAGGGTGACAGCAGGGACGGTGGCGTGCACGTGAGATAGTTTAAAGAGATAGCAGACGTGCGCTGAATCCACCGAAATCTCTCCACCTCACACACCTGGATCTGGTGTCAAGATAGGGTCAAGAAGATCAGAGACGGCAGAATTCGCAGGTGGCTGGCACGACGAAAACCCGCACATTGGCGTACCACTCATCCCCTGGTCGATAGCGTACACTGACCATCATTTTACACCAAGAAATCTACATACTGTAGAAATCTCATCGTCCTCGTGAATTCCGAGAATCTGGAGGTAGAAAGCAGTAACTAGCTAAAAACTGACAATCAGCAGTCCTAAAGCTCGGAAATTCAACAGCTGTGGCATAAACGACCACCAACGACAAAGTCTTTCGTTAGTTTCTATTTAGTGCAAACTGTTTTGTGTATATTTTCTTCTTGTTTGACGATGCGTTGGGGTACTCTTTCGCAAACTTGCTTAATGAAAGTTATTTCGTTTCTAAGGAACTTTGGCCAATTTTAACTAGGACCCTCGAGATGTCAATTTCTGAAATACAAAATAAAACCTTTAACGAGCAACTTGTTGAGACTGGCCCTTAAGCTTGTCGTCAGACTTTGGAGGCATTCATAGATAATAAGAGAATCTATAGATGTTTTGGCAGATTTTGAATAATTCAAAATCAAAAATATATGAGTTACGCAAGCCTGGTAGTCATCTGTTGGATTGTAGGTGAATTACTTAGGAAATTCTGCCTGAGCAGCCAACTTACTTCACTTTCAGTTTCAGTTTATTAAGGGAAATATAGGCGATCGCCTTTGAACTCCCTAGTGGTTACAAGTCGTTGGAGAAAAGCATTGATAAATGGGAAGGTGAAAAATGGATTTTGTACACAATCGCGTACAGTTATTCGAAAAAGAGTAATCATTAACGGTTACTTACTAATTGCAAGTAGTATAAACACTTATAATTTGGTGTTCGCCATGTTAGTGGACGTGTGGCTGGCAATTGGGAAGCTTGATACGCGTCGTCTACACTTAAAGGAATTCACACAGGAGGAGATTGCAACATCGGTAGGCAGGGCATTTCACGTCGCAACCACTCTGTTACTGGAAGAAAACTTCGTTCATTGATTCTTGATTTCCCTGCGCGTAGTTTTCGGGGAGGACCGCGCAAAGTGGGCGTGTTAGCTTCGGTGAAATAATCAGCAGAATCTAAACAACAGCCTAGGCCGTTGATAATGCGAAGTATTATTATAAAGTCACCACGTAATTGCCTGCAGGAAAGGGGAAACAGGTTGAGAGTTGACAGTCTGGTCTTATAGGGCAGTGCTCCCAGACCTTTTGTCATTTTTGTCGTCCGTTTCTGGACCTTCTCCAAGACGGTATAATCCTTGGCAGTCCAAGGTCTACACGCCTGTATGGCGTATTCTAGATGAGGCCGCACGAAGGTGCCAAATATTTTGGAAAAGCAGTCAAGTTCAAATCCCATGAAGGTTCGCCTAATGAGTTGCAATGTAGCCGTAGACGATTTAGCCGCCTTCGCGCAGTGCAGTGTTCGTTTGAGTGAAGATGTAATCCATACCCCCAAGTCCTTCTGACATTCAACCTGTTGCAGTGGTGTGCCGTGTAGGAATTAAGTCCTGGTGCTGGAGGCTCTGAAGTTACCGGATTTAAGAACGTTGCACTTGCTTATAGTAAAGGACATAAGCCAACGCTTCGACTAGTCTTCCAGCCTGTTCAAGTTTGCTTGCAGGTGGTCTGCGTCTGTCGCATTGTGAATAACTTTCCACAATTTTATGTCGTCGGCAAACAGGATGGCATCACAGTCTAGGTCCTTGACGCAGTCATTTATGAAAACGAGGAATAACGTGGGACCTAAGACTGAGCCCTGTGGAACGCCACTCACCACGCTTACATCTGAGGACTGTTGACGCCCGACCTGCACTCTTTGGGACCGTCCAGCCAAAAAGCTCTGGATCCATACAAGAAGGCGTCCACGAATTCCAGCGTTGCGCAGTTTGTACAAGAGACGTTGTTGAGGAACGCTGTCGAAAGCCTTTTTGAAGTCGATGTAGATGGCGTGCACCACATTGCCTTCATCACGTGCTTTGGTCCAGCGTTCGAGCTTAAAGAGCAGATTCGTGAGACAGGACCTACCACTTCGAAAGCGGTGTTGGGCCTCGGAGAGGAGGTGTTGCTGCTCGAGGAACTGCATCAAGGCCTTCTTAATGATCTACTCCATGATTTTGTAACAGATGGAGGTAAGACTCACTGGCCTGTAGTTATTCGCGGACGCACGACTTCCACCCTTCAAAAGCGGAGTGATGGTAGCGGACTTCCAATCAGAGGGCAGGCATCCAGTAACAAATGACGTTTGGAAGATCAAGACTAACGGCTTGGAAACTTCAGGAGCTAGCTCCTTCATCAACTTTGCCGGGATTGCATCAGGGCCTGGGGAGGTCGACTCTTTCAGTTTTAGCAACTCTTTCTGAACGATTGTTTTGGTGAAGAAGACGGCTTCGAGAGTAGGCGTTTCTTCGTCTTCACAAGTGGGTGAGAAAAAATCAGGTCCACTTGTCACGACGGACCGGAAGAACTGAGAAAAATGTTCAGCCTTATCCTTGCCATCTGAGATTTCCGTTCCCTCGTCCGTTCGCAGCAGTTGGATGGGATCTTTTTTCCGTGTACTCTGTCTTATGTAGCTGTAAAGGACTTTGCGATTAACAATGGCACGGTTCAAAGGATCCTTTTCAAAGGCTTTCCGATCTCTGGCGATGAGAATTTTGACCCGATTTCTCGGTAACTTATAAATGCTTAGGGATTCTGGCGTCTGCTCAATTACGGATCTTTTCCATAGCCTCCTCTTCTTGTTAACTCCCCTCTTTAAGGACGGAGTCAACCAGCGGGGTCTATTCGTGAGTCTTCTGAGCATGATTGGACAGTGGTTGGAGATGAGGCTGTGGACTATCTATCTGAACTGACACCAAGCCTCTTCGATATCGCCGGAGAGAGTGGATGCCCAGTCGATATGACGAAGATCCTTTTTCATCTGTTCAAAATCGCCGCGCCAAATACTAGGTCGGGAATCGAGCGATTGTGCAGGCAGGGAGAATAAGATGCATTCCCACATGAGAACAGCATGGTCACTCTGACCCAACCGGGGGAGGCAATTCATAACGTCGATGTTGTCAGACGACTTGGTGAACACAAGATCGAGGCAGTTCATTTGTTGGCCCTCTCGAACTCTCGTTGGAGACTTTACGTGTTGGGTGAGAAGCAGATTGTCGGAGGTAGCAGTAGCTGCTGGTCGAATGCTGCTTCAGAGCAGTCGGCTGAGGCCGAGCTCCAGTTTATGTGAGGTGCATTAAACTCTCCAACTATGAGAGTATTCGACCGCGTTGAAAATGATCTGAGCTCCTCCAGCAGTTGGGCGTCAGCGTCAGGGTCATTTCTCGGGGACGATGTACTGCCAAGATATCGAGAATTTTCGAGTCCGGTGCCCTTATGGTCAGCCATAATGCTTCCGTGCTACAAGTCAATTTGGCAGTTTTTTCTGAAAAACGTACAAGCCATTCTTAACAAAAGTTACTTTGTCTCCACCCCTTCTGTTTTCTCTGTCTCTGCAGGACAGTTGAAATCCAGGGAGCATGAGCTCCCTATCATCAACCTGTCCGGACAACCATGTTTCTGTTATTGGGATAACATCTGGGTGGAGGTCGTAGGTATGGATAGGGAGTTCATTCAGTTTTGAAAGTAAACTTTGCGCGTTAGTATACATAAATATGAGCTTCGAGTTCATGCGAGATTTGTTTACAACCCCGACACGGGCTACTGGGGTATCTGTGCAGTCATTCGGATCGGCTTGATCCAGAGGGGAGCAGAATGCCGTCTTACCATCCGGTCTTTGTAGATTTTCAAGTTTTTTTCTCCGTTGTTTTGCCGTGTTTTCAAGTCTAGGACAAGTTCGCGGCGTTTCGTTCTCTCGGCAGGTGAGTAGTCTGGCTAAAAAACACTCCTTTTTGGGAATGGTTCAGTCGAAAACGCCTGGAAAGAATTAGTTTCGCCTGCTCATTGCTACCTAGGATGATTTTAGGTGTCGTGGTCGCGTCTGTGGAGCGGCGCTTGTACGGCTACCAAGACGAAACGCTTTTAGGACTGTGATATCTTCCGTTGGTTGCAATATTTCATTTAGGATTTTCTGGAATTGCTCTAAGTCAGCAGCGACTCGTTCCCTGAGGGTACTGGCGGAGGACTCTGAGAGGCCCTGAATTATGATGCTGTGGTCCTTGTTAAGCATTCCTCTGTTTTCTGCGGTTTGGGCGTTGTTGGCTGGTACTTTAGCCTCGCCGAAGTGGAGTGGCGAAAAGGAGTGGGCTGCCATATTGGTATTTTTGTCCCCGTGAGGTTCATCCGCGGATCCTGTTAAGGCATCGTGAAGAGTTACGCACTGTGGTTGATCTGTGTAGAACGTGACCCCCATGAAGTAGAGACTTCCTCAGCACGGTTCTCAACCCTGTTGACATGGGAATTCGCAGTGGCAGCTAATTCCACTCTGGTCCACAGCCATATGTCTTTGCGCCAATTGATTATCCCTCTACTTTAGGCTCCGGTAATGGGCACATAGTCTAGGGATTATTCCGGTTAAGCGTCATCTGCCTCATCCCTTCCAGCCCTTTCATTTTGTACGTGCAACTGCTTTTCGGGCAAGACTGATATACTGTCTTTCGTATTCTGGCGACTTTTCCCGTGGTGTTAAGTGTCGTTTTTTTCTTATTCTTTTTTTTCCTCGGAAGCCGCTACTTACGGTTGGTTCCGATGCCTTTAAAGAGGCCTCTAGATGACTATCACTTGACTGCGTCCGTGTAAATTCATCTAGCTTAGTGTACGGAGCCATTTGAGGGAAACAAGCTTCTTCGTCAGAATTACAAGTCTCCGTGTAAGTGTAGGAACTAGAGGATAAGATACTATCTCACGATGATGACGCTGAGTCGGACGGAAAACTTTTCCTCATATTCTCTGCAATTGCGTGAAAACGTGCGCGAAGACCACGCTGAACACGTCTTTTGAGGGTTCGCTTCGATATTTTCGTCAACATTCTACGATAAAACAAGAAAACAGTGTTATGGAAACACAGAATATGTGCAGGGTCAATTGACAACGTGAGAGCAGTAACCGCAGGCGCCTAGCAGCGTGGGCGAGCAGGAAATGGCGTGACAGAGCGCTAGCGCGAGAGCCAGCGCGTCGTCCGATCGATTTGCCAATAATCAAGCGCGCAGTCATCTGCGGCGTTAGCGACGCCAGGCCCCTGGGCCGCGAGAGCCAATTAAATAGAAGCAATGAGCGAATGTCGACAGTCTAACTTAGAGTCGGCTTTCAATGCTATAAGAGTGAGAATAGAAGATGCCTTATTCACTACATGATTGCTTTCTGGGGATTCCTTACAGGGATGGCTCTTGCTCTACTCCGAGTTAACCCCTGCGTAGATAACACCGAGCGGTCCTCTGAAGAAAGAGTCTTCAGATTCCTAACTTCTTCCTTTAGTTGATGCATCTTGTAGGCTGTCGTTTGACAACCAGTACATGCATATCCTACGTGATTCTGCGGTGACAAATTAACAATGCTTTAAGCTGCACAGCTCAGTCGTGAGTCGGTAGTGCAGGCGTTAGCGGAGCGGACTCAACTTTTGAGGTCCCCGGTTCAAACCCCGAGTGCGCGTTACTTTGGAACTAGTGCGGACTCCAACATTCAGGACAACTTTTCTATATCCACAAGAATAAACTTCACCGAAAAGATCGTAGGCTTACGTATGAAGGAAGGCTTTTATGATGATCTTTCGGTAGAAAGTAACTTTATCAGCTGAATAGAAAGGTATAGTCGAGAAGCTTCGGAGCTTCTCGGTCGATCGGAGAAAAACTGTTCTAAATTCCTAGGAATTTAGACAAATACGTTGAGACGATGACGAAACAATGTCTAATTGTAGAAAAGCCACTCAGCCTTTGTAGGAGCTGTGGATGTACTTTTCTTCAGATAATCCGTCTTTCTGGGTTGTATGCAGTAGAAACGAGGAAGGCCAAAACAGGCCAATTCTGTGAATGTGTTGCAGGAGACTATTTGGGAGGAAGATATTGACGAGTCGAATACAATTCTTAATTCCGGCAGGCTCTAAGAGTCTACAGTAAGTCGAAATCTCGAAGTAACTAAATTCCTCTGGGGACGAAAATTTGAAACCAAATTCGAAACACTTTGAGAAGTTGAACTTGACCACTTTGAGTGCTTACATGTTTGAAGCTGCAGCTTCAAACTTCCGGATTCCTTCTGCGGGTATGTCGACTCACAAACCTGTTTCGCATTCTTTTAAAACTACAGCGACCACTTCAATTATCACGTCTAGAAATTTGGTAATTTGTCTGTTCTGCGACGCAAGGTTGAATCTACTTAAGTAGAATTCTATCGGACTGGTCGCACGGGATTTTCTTAACACCGCTGGTATCCCTATAGACGACAGTTCGGCCATCGTGATCAGACGTGCGCTGAATCCACCAAAATCTCTCCACCAAACACATCTGGGTTTGGTGTCAAGATAGGGTCAAGAAGATCAGAGACGGCAGAATGCGCGGGTGGCTGGCACGGCGAAAACCTGTTGCGGTTCAGCAGAAAGAATATGTGCAGCAGGTGAGCTACAATCGTCAGGCCAAATTCCATGTTTGAAGGAAGAAGACAAAGGAGACCAGAATAAGGATTTATTGTGCACAGAACCCGAAGTTGTCCTCTCAGGCGACAGTGGCCACTGGCGAAGCCAGAGCTCGTGTTGACTGCGTCCAGTCATGCCTGAGAGTCTCCGAGGTAGAGATGGCAGCCGCTTTTGTAGGCTCGTGGGCCAAGCTCAAGTGGTGTCCAGTCAGCGTGTGTTGCATTTGCCGAGGGGTGGTGTCCCAGAGGCTTGTTCCGCTGGTTGCAGGGGTGGCGCGTTCAAGTGGCCGCATGGGTAGCTGCGACTGCGCGGACGCAGGCATGCCCGAGCTGTTGGTTGTGTGATTTCAGGTCACCTCGTCTGGGATGGCTCGCTGCAAGGGATGAACGACCTTGAGGCAGCGAGGTCTTGAACAATGACGCCAGATCAGTCAGGATGGCCAGTCGCCACAAACCCGCACATTGGCGTACCACTCATCCCCTGGTCGACAGCGTACACTGACCGTGATTTTACACCAAGAAATCTAAACACTGTCCTCTGTTCCAGTGGTCGAAGGCCTCTGTAATAAATTCCACCGGCATACATGCATAACAGGTCTTACCTAGAACCAAATTACACAGGGGCGTTTCGAAGAACGGCCTCTTTCCCTGTTGTCGACCACAGAAGGTGAGGAAGGAGGTGATTTCTTTGGAGAACAGCTCTGCGAATACTCGGTCAACGAAGGACACGAAGTGTCCCCGCCAAGAGAGCACAAGTACGTCGCCTAGCAAAGTACTGAACACCGTCGTTACGTAACATGCCAGTTGTTGACGATACGTATTGTCGCCGAGAGCATTGACGAGGGCGTCCAGCTGCTCTGGAGCGTCCACCTGCCTCAACTTGGATCCGGAGGACTCAGATGGGCATGCTCCCGAGGCCCTTGAGCAGATGCATCATCGCTGCATGTTGTTGACGCATCTGAGAGACCTGATGTATAAGCATTGCTAGTGATTGCATCATCCGTAACCGCTGCCTCCCTTCACCATCCACGTATCACAAGCTGAGAGACTGTTGGGTTGCAGGATAAGTGGAAAGCGACCAATGAACGGTGGGAGCAACAGTGCAACTGACCTTTTTGTCGAGTACATGAGGGAAAAATACCGTCCAGCGCCATCATCTTTTAGTCGATTGTGCTTAGCCAGCCAGGCACTGCCGATAGTTGGCGTCCGAACGTCCGTGGATTTACATAAGGACGTACACGTCGTCGATTTGAAAGCAGGCATACTTGCGCACCGATACTGGCAGCGGGCAGGTCTTGAGTACAGCTCCTAAAGTAGCCTTAAAAATCTTTAATTGCGACGAATTGGTAGGATAAAAGAAATAATCTTCTATGTTATCGTACTCAACATACACTACCGCTACGTTGCCTGATGCATAACAAATGATGATTTGGATGCAAATTAACTTTCCGTTGACTACGACTGATCCTTCACGAGGTGACGTCTCAATTAGTGGGTCATTTATATAAATAAACTTAAACTGACTAAAGCCCCCACCCGTTTCCGGTAATGGGCCATTGGAATGTTCATACTTAAAAGTCCACTGCAATTGACTGCTTTCTGCCTGACACTCACCATGTATTTCGGCTAGCCGGCGTACTACTTGCTGCAGTAGCTGTGACGGTTTTCTAAGCGTCCGCTTCAGTTTGCCTAGGAAACTTTCAAATGGAAACGACGAGAAACTATCCAATAGAACATGCCGTAGGACATCGTCTGGTAGGTGAACAATGCTGTGAACATTGTACACCAATTCGGCCTAACCATATAAAGATGAAAATTTCTTCACAAACCTACGTAGCAAATGCCTGCAATACGGAACCCACTGTTTGTAGGACTGAGGCCTAACCATACAGCGTACTGCTGCGAAAAGTAATAAAAAATGCTTCCAATATTTACGAGGAAGAATGTCCCGCATGACCACTATGCCTGTATAAAGCAGAAACTGACGCAATTCCGTGCCCTTCCATGTGCCTACATCGTTAAGAGACCTGGCACGTTGCGAAAATTGCTGTGACAGGTACGCATTCAGCGATTTCAGCCTTTCACTAAGCTTACTTACTGCAGCCCTTGACAACCTAAAGGCATTTCCCCTTGGGCTTCGAAGCCACAAGTGCAACAGCCTCCTCATTACACCTAGGTAAACTAAATGAAGGGGGTCTAAGGGAAATGAACCCGCGAAGACGGGTTGCCCGTTAGCCTAGCTGCTGGCTACCCGGCGCGTCCACAGGTGGCGGATAGTGGGACGATCTTCAGTGAAGGTTAGCTGCGAAATAAGCAGACCCAGGTCTGACGAATAAGCAGTCGCGGACCAGCAGGACATTGCTACCAGGGTGTGGTGGGCTGAAGTCTGGCACGCTGAAAGCCTTATAAAATGCCGCAAAACCCTATGACGGCATTGTGACATGGCGACCGTAAACCGCCATTAAATACGTTTACTAGCCACCACTGCCTTGTGGTTAGGTTTTTAAGCCAAAGCGCTAGAGGAGACAACCTCGAACAAACAATCCGAGCGGCTGTTGGGGACCCGCCCGTATTCGAAATTACCAAGAAACCTCATGAAACATGTCCGATTACAGTACTATGACCCATGCTACGGCGTCCGCGGGAACCGACACGCTCAGCAACCCTGGTCCAGTGGTGCGGGCGAATAGTATGCGAGCTGGACTACTCAATCGTGGACGGACTCTCGGTATTGGATGCTGGAATGTACGAACGTTCCTGGATCCTGGTACCCAAAGTCTGACCGCACGCAGCCTTCATCAGTACAACGTGAATGTCTGCTGTCTGTCTGAGGTACGACTTCCTGACTCAGGCTCCCGTGAAATAAAGATCCCGGGAGTCGAATTACACTTCACCCTGTACCACAGCGGCCCCCGCGATTCCTCTGGTCGACACGGTGTGGCGATCGCCCTATCACAACAAGCGGACCTCGCGCTACTTGCTTGGGAACCAGTCAATGACCGGATGGCCTACGTGCGACTGAAGGGTCACTTCACGAACATCTCCATCGTCGCTGTGTACGCACCAACTTCGGCTGCCGAACAGCGCGATAAAGAGGCATTTACTCTCAGTTGCAAGCGCTAGTTGAAAGACTGCCTCGCCGCGATCTTCTGATTGTTGCTGACGATTGGAATGGTCGAACTGGCCCTGGAGACCCCACAACCAGTCATCTTTTTGGCCGCTTTGGACTTGGTTCCCGATGTGAAAACGGTGAGAGATTGCTGAACTTCGCAGATCGAAACCGACTGCTTGTCACCAACACATGTTTCCAGCATCGCAAAAAACATCTGCTGACCTGGTATTCAAACGACGGTCGTACGGCCAGTCAGCTCAAGGTTCCGCAGCTGGGTTCACGATAGCAGATCGATGCGTGGTGCAGAGACTGGTAACGCCCATGGGTCGGACCATGTCCTCGTCCGTACACGCCTGAAAGTTCATCTCTCATGCGCACCAAAAATGCCACGTCCTAGACGCCTCAATGTCGCAAAAATCCGGCAAGCCAGCACTGCCGAGGCCCTAAGCAGAGAAATCCGGACCTGTTTTACGACCCGAGCCGACGGAGAAGTCAGTAACCAGTGGTCGTCATTGAAGACATCAGTCTATGGGGCAGCTGAGAAAATCCTTGGATACACCCAGCGACGCCGCAGTGACTAGATCAGCGGAAGAACCCTGCAGTTGTCTGCTCAGACGGCTAGAGCCAGGTCCCGCAACGATGACTACTTCCGCCAACTTCGGAAGATGACGGCAAAATCGGCCAGGGATGACCGGAAACAATATTGGACTGAAATAGCGACATCCATGGAACAGGCCTCGAACGTTGGTGACACTCGAAAGCTCTACCGTCTGATCCGCCAAGTTAGCGGTAAGCCCTCTACACTGTTCAGTTCAGTTCAGTTTATTTGAGGGAAATATAGGTGTTAAACCTTTGAACTCCCTATTTGTTACAAGGAGGCGAAAAATAAAAAAAAAATTTGAAAATTGAAACATCAAACGTCTACAGAGTTTCTTCAGATTGGCAACGTTTTGTAAGCCAGACAGATAAACGAATTGTTCCAAAAGTTAAAAACATTAACGTTACTAAATGTGCTGTACAGTAGTCTGTCT